ACAAAACCCGAAAAACCAAAAATGCAAAAATCTGAAAAACTATAAAAGCTACGAAATTTTGCTTAGAAAGACGTATTTGGGAGGTGCCTGTGCAACTTGCCATTAAGTTGCATCCGGCCACGCCCACTCTTACGCCCACAAACCGCAGAAAACTGTGGCGTCTATAATATTATTATGAATGCCTTCGTTTGACCTTGCACAACTTATTTCTGTTAATATCTATCGATTTACCAAAGATTTTTCAAATCGGAACATTATTTCGCTATTTATAAAGAAAGTAATGTAATAAGGCCTCACACGGGCAGTGACGTCACTATAAGCATATTCAACATACTTCCTCTGACAATAAATGACGCCTTAAGAATTCCCACTAGCAAAATAAAATTTTTAAATTTTGTAAAACAGTAACGGGTATCTTATAGTCGCGGAACTCGACTATAGCGTTTCCTCTTGTTTTGAATTAGAAACATTTATCTTCAACAGTTTTCAATAAACGCAAGCTCTCCCACTCCCTTGCTGCTAATGCATCCCCAAACCATCACCGACAATTTGCCAAATTTTACTGTCGGAATGATGTTGCGCTGATCTAGAGCTGTTAAAGGCTTCCGCCATACTCTAGTTGGTCCATCATTTTAGTACAGCATTATTTTGGTTTCGTCACAGAATATGACGTCATCACAATAGTGGTCCGGCATGATGTTCATGTTGACAGCAAAAGTTAAGCGCTTTTCAACATTTACTTTTGAAAGCAGCGGCTTCTTACGCGGAACCCTTGAAGAGTATTTGTTTCGCAGAATTTGTTGGCGGACGGTTTCATGTGAAACGACCGTGCCACACCCTTCTTCCAACTCCTTGGCAAGGGTTCTGGTCGAAATTTGGGGGTTTTGACGGACCTTACGCTAATCAGCAAGCTTGCACGCACCACGTGGCAAGAACAGCTGACTTTAAACAGCTGGTGCAAGACGAGGGCTGCGCAATAAAATTCAAATTAAATATTTTCGATGTCCAGGGACATTTCTAAGCTTGAAATAATTGTAACATTATTGATATATTAACAGGAACTTTTTAGGTTTTGGCCAAAATAAAGGCATTTCATCCCAATGTGCGGTGGCGACAGAAGAAAAGCTAGTCGATGCGTTGTTATTGTTTTTTTGTTGTAAAATATTGCGGGCTTCACGGAAGCTGCATTTCTTGCTTGTTTTGATGATGAGAAGTTCTCTCTGGTATTGATATTTCGGCCATGTTGGAGAGGAGGCAGGATGATCGCCGCTACAGTTTGCTCAAAAAATGCAACGAGGGGAGAGGTTACAAGAAACGCAAGTTGCAGTGTTCTTGCAGTATTTCATTGTGTGTCCCAATAGTTGACAAGACTTGCACCTTATAAGATTAGGAAGATATTCTCTAGCCTTAACGGTATGCCAAGAGACGTCAAGCTTGCTCGTTATTTTGTACGAATCAAAAGTGACAAGAATTTTGCCAAAGGGTTTGGGTTTTCCGTCAATAATTTTCGTGAATTTGTAGACGCACATTTCGTGACTTCGACAAGGGTCAGCTATGCAAGAGGCATATATGGTGCCCTTGACAAAATTAAGAGATTGGTGGAGCTTGATCTCTACTTCAGCTATGCCGGGCAAAGATTGAATCTTGGTGAACTTATCGTAGGGTAGAGATCGTTGAGATTTCTTTCCCCGAACTTCCCCTTACCACTCAAAACAACCATCGACTTATTGTCGTTGCTTCTAAATCCACTACACTGCTATGCAAGAGTATTCGGATAGCAGTGTAGTGGATTTAGAAACAACGACAATAAGTCGAAGAAGAAGAAGAAGCGAAATTGCAAAAACCACTGACAATTAGGAAGGCAAGGACGCACTATAGGGAATTTGAACGTTTTTCTGGCCAAAAATAATATCTCAAAAACTGAGCAAGATATTTTGATTCTGTTCTTTGATTTGAGTTCATATGGTCAATAAATTTCAGATGTAAAAAATTTTTGGGCGTGGCACCGCCCATAACATTAAAATCATATGCTAACTCAAAAACTAAGCAAGATATTTTGATTCTTTTTTTTTTGATTTGAGTTCATATGGTCAAAAGACTTCAGATTTGAAAAAATTGTGGGCGTGGCACCGCCCATAATCTTAAAATCAGATATTAACTCAAAAACTAAGCAAGATTACACAGCCATTTTTTGTATAAGATTCAACTTATTTTGCGAATATGTTTATTAGCGATTTTGATATTAAAGAATAATGTTTCTAATAATAATTTTGTGTTTATTAATAGTAGTGGACGTTGCACGACTAATTTAAGGAACAATATTTCATATTAAACAATATTTTATTTCAGCCAATCTCTATGCTTCAGCTGGAAATGCTTTAAATTCCTTTTGGAACTGCTCCAAATTGTACTTAAACGGTAGCAAATTTCCTGGTTTTTCTCTCTATAATATCCCTTAAGTCGTCCCCTGGTATAGCAGCTTTTACCAATTCCAATACAACATTTTCCTTTGCGCTGTTGCGCTGTTGCGCTGCTCTAACACATAGTCTTTATTTCATTGATGGACTCGGCTGGACTCACTTTCAATGTCTATTTAAAAATTAGAAATAATTCAAAAACTAAGTTAGTTGACACAAGTTTTTTCAATATACAAATTTTACCAAAATTAAATACAAACCACACTGGTAAGAACCCATTTTAAATTTTTTATTTATAATGCTAAATTTTTTACTATTCACGATTTTAAAATTGCGCTAAACTACAAAGGTTGCCACTGCTTGTAAAGACTCACAGAAACAGCTGTTTTCATCAGCTGATTTCTTCGCTTCCAAATATTAAAATTTCTGTTATGCAACACTTACAATTGATCTAATGTGAATGCAATTCAGTTAAAATTTTTATTGTTTTCACATTAAAAAAGTAAGTTAATAATTAGCGGATGACATTAATTCAAAACTTTGGTTCAAATATATATTGTTTCATGGAAAGAGAATAACAACATAAAACTATTTACAAGAAAATAAAACTTTAAATTAACATTCAAAATAATTTTATATGTGGAGGAGTGCCTCTATTATTTAATTGTAACAGAATTCCATATGGTACATTATATTGTTTACACAATCTGGTCACACTTTAACTTGAGCCACGCACCTTAAACATTCATGAGCTCGGAAATTATGGATGGTGGTGCCATCACATTATTTTCGATGTTTTTGAGATTGAAAATTTAACATTTTTTTGGGTTTATTTTCAAAAATTTTCTATTATATGAAATTTCAAGTAAATATTTCTATATCATATATTTTACGCTTAAAACTGTGCATTTCTTTGCAAAAATAGAAGAATGTCAGCATTGTTGCTTAAGCGAGATCCGCAGTTATATATTATAAGTCCAGCCTTGCTGAACATACATAGAGTGCAGTTATTTAAAAAAAATTCTAGTCGTTATCCCTGATAACAAAGAAAGATAAGAGATAAATATAAATAAATTAATTGAATATTGATAATTAAACAAAGCGATTTTCTAATCATAAAAAAAAGCTATTATTTAATAAAAGGAAATGTACAGGCTTTTTCCATGCCGTAGCTTATTTTGTGCAGCAGATTCTACTTAGCTTATTATATGTAATTTAACATATGTACATATAATATTTTAAATGTCCTACTTTCTGGTACCAGACAGCTTTGAGAAAAAACATGGAAGAACTTTTTAATGAATTCCACTGGAATTTTTTGCGTTCTTCCATTAGAACAGATTTTCGATCGTTTTATTCGAAATATTCTTCTTCCTTACATAAATTTCCAATATTTCCCATAAATTTTCGATCGCATTTAAATCGGGAGACTGTATTGGAGGTTTGCCGACATGAGGGCGGTTCCAGTTCAAGACTTTAGAATTCCTGCAATGCTTCGGGTCGTTGTCCTGATAAAATGGTTGTCCTCTTAAATGTTGAGGTACTTTTCGTCATCCATGATGCCATCAATAAAAATGAGGTTGCACACGCTAGAGGCCGATTTGATTTCAAATTTATATTAAACCTAATTATTATACATACGTAAATTAAGAAATTATATTAAAAGCTTGTTAAAACAACATTCGTTGTCCTCAAAAATATCTTTGGATCATCTAACTTTAATTTAATTTCATTCATTAATGACTTTAGGCATAACGTTTCTCTAACACCTCTAACACCTTCTCTAACAACCTAACACCTTGAGTTCATATTGTCAATAGATTTCCAATTTGAAAAAATTGTGAACCTCAACCTCAAAATCACACGCTAACTATTTTAACTAACTAACTTTTATATATAACATTCAACTATTTTTTTATCACCTATTTTAATCAAAAGAACAATGCTTGTAATAATAATTTTGAGTTTTAATTTAGTAATAGTAGACGTGGTTCCTATTTTAAGGAACAATATTACGTAACAAATATGTTTAATTTCTCCCTTCAGTCTGTAATAAATCAGAATTTATAATGTATTCTAATAAGTTCTATAAAAGTTCTTTATTTTCCAAATCTATATCATAGGAAAACTCCAAAAGATCAGTATCTAAAAAGCTCTCATCCTCCATTGAATCATCTAAATTTTCCGAGCAGTATAATAAATTTACTGCTTCTGAAGGAAAACACATTCTCTTCTGTCGCCGTATTCTTATCTCCAATCCATAGCTCTTTGAAATACGTCCGTGAAGTTTCATATGCTACTGCTCTTCCTGGCGTGATATAGGCGTTCGGTTTTAGATATGTTGTTTCTTGATTTGGCTCCTTCCTCTTCAAAGTACCCAACAGGAAGCTCAGTATTATAATTTTATCTACCATTGCTATCATATAATATGTCTATAATCTGTTCTGCAGTATCGAAGCAAAAGTTTTGAAATTTTGCAATATATATGGAGGGCTGACAAATTAAAATCGCTTTTAAATTTGAAATTATTTGCATATCGATGTCAGTTTCTGATATAAAGCTTGAGGATCCGAGAATGAACGTCGTGCAGTGTTCGCATCATTTGTACTGCCAAACCCTTCAGCTTTTGGTTTATCCACATTAAAAGAAAGACGATTCCAAAATATGGCTTATATCTCTTTTTCCCGTTGAGAAAAAACCCGTCTATCTCTCTCCCATGAAATCCTCCACTTCTGAACTCCATATATGTAGCCAGCATGCAGTATAAACTCAAACACTCGAATCCATGTATATAGTGGGCTTAAGCCGAATTTCAAGTGGCTCATAATCGGCACAAATATTGCCCACTTAAAATTTTTGTTCAAAACAACAAACAAAACTTGCCATGAACCATGTGTTAAGTTTACTGGGGATCAGCTGATCGCTCTCGCACTTTGGGACCAGTGATGCCAATATGATTTCAAAAAAAAGGACAGATTGAGAAAAAAACATGAAAAAAATGATGAAAATAGTATAAAAGGGATAGAAAAAGGACAAAAAGTTTGTTTACAGTAATTTTATTTTTTATTATTAAGATAATAGTTTTAAGGCATCTTCGATTATTTTTCCGTGGTCAGTTTTGTTGTCCTCATAGGTAGCCATGGAGCCAATTAATTGGAGATACTTTTCAGACAAGTTATAATTATGACAACATAATTGATGCCGACGCAATCCAAATCTGAAGAAAGAATGCATGTATTTATAAGTGGTAAAATTTTGAAAATATTTATATATTTACTTGGTTAAATACTCTCTCTACCTCAGCATTTGACCATGGCAATGAAAGCAGGCTGAGAGCAAAATTAACCAGGTCTTCATATGGGTTGTTACCTGCAGAATCCCGATACCTCTTCACTTCTGACCAAAATTTTGATGTGTTTTCAATATTTTTGCAATTTATAAGGTGAATATTGGAATATTGTGAAATTATTTTGCTTTTAATCTCCGAATGTATTGAAAATATATCTAAAATAGGCAGAATTGAGTCATTTTTGGACTTCAAAATGCGATCTACCGAAAATGCGTCTATTTGTTTTAATGTGGAATAATTGTCCGCCAATTTAAAACACATCCAAATTTTTTTTGTACTTAAAAAATAAAATTTATATCAAATAATATATTTACCTCTGCTTCAATTGATTAATCAATTTGATCACAAAATCTGTACAGGTACGCCGAATTATTACCTCTGTTTCATCATCAATTTTCCCTTTTAAACTTGACAAATCGGATTCAAATTCATATCCCAAATATAAGTCTCGTTTTATATGTTCTTCAAATTCTTCCTCGAGAACGTTAACATCAACTTCGGACGGTATTATTTTCGATTTGAGGAAATTAATGTTCACAATAAAATCGCCAAGTAATATGGTTGCGTCGGCGTCCTTGCTTTAGAACATTCTTGACATTCGTCAAGAATCAGCTTCAAAAATAGCAAATATAAATAATTGACGTCATTTTATAAATCAGTCAATATATGTGATTTGTGTCATTTTTTTACCAACGCTGCAGTTTGAAAATGCACTTTCAGTTCAATCCATTGAGTTATTATACGTTTGACTGCGTTTTCAATAGACAGCCATCTTGTGTCAGCGACTCTGGTGATTTTAAGAGGATCCTTGTGATGTTATATAGGTTATATTTTTACTACAAAAAAGGGACAAGTACGAACAATAAACTGCCAATTTCAGTATAGTAAATATTAAAACCAACACAATAGTAATCCATTAAAGATGTTAAAACACATATACAGGGTGGGCCATTTAAAGTTGACCCATTGACAATATTAGTTTTAAAAGAAACAATATAGTAGGTTATATTTTTACTACAAACAACTGTGCCAATACTCCAATTTTATATAAATATTAAAACAAACACAATAGTAATTCATTAAAGATGTTAAAACAAAAAAAAAAGGTTGGTTTTTTTAAATTTAACTTTTTTTTTTAAAAAAAAAAAAAAAAAAAGGAGTATTTTTTTTTTTTTTCCAAAATCATTTATTTTGGTCCAAGGAGATTTTTACAAATTATTATTAAAAATGATATCAAGTAAATGGGCACCTTTAGCTCTGACAGCCGAATGCATTCTTTTTTCAGCATTTTCCATGACTTTGGTCAATGTTTCATACGATATGGCGGCTATTTCACGTCTAATGTTGTCTTTTAGTTGACTTAAGGTTTTTGGTTTATTAGCGTGTACCTTGGATTTCAAATAACCCCATAAATAAAAGTCTGGTGCCGTAACCGATTTTTAACCGGAGCACTTTTAACTTTATTCATTTTACGAAACGCACGTTGGGTTAACACAATTGAGAATTTATTTTCAATGTATAGCTGAACAATTTGAGCGCGTTCCTTTGGAGTGTATTGTATCATGGTATCAATTGTCTTCCACTGACGCTTCCAACGTGGTATGACATTTGACGATCTGTCGACGCTATCAAAAGTTACAGGGTTGCCAAATGGGTCAAATTTAAATGGCCCACCCTGTATATACGTTAAAACATATTTAATTAATATAACATTTGCAAGCAGCATTGACAGCCAACTGCACTGAGTGGCACACACATTTAAAAAGAATCAACGACGGCACGCTCTCCTTTAATAAAGTATAAACGCTTTTTTTGCTACCCACCATCAAACTGGAGTTATCAGTGCCGATTCCTATCAAGTTTGATACGGGAATTTTTAAGGCGAGACAGTTCATCCAGGAGGCTCTTGGTAATGTTGGGTGCGACTCCACTTTCAATTGAAACAAGTGAAAGGAACGTCGATTGAATTTTCTCGAATTGAGCGCTGTAGTATATTATAGCAACACCTGAAAACACTAAGAATTTAAATATATTTGGCTACATTAACGACTCTTACTTACCTAGATGCTGGTTATACTTATATCAGTAGACTCGTCAATTAACAGACTGAACTTTTCGTTTCCCTGTCACTACATTTTTAATAAGGTTAGTGCACTTGGTTCTGTGCAATTTAACCTTCTTGGCGTCAAAATGTGTTTTTACAAATTCACTTAGGTGGCCAAACGGCTCAATAGTACAATGCTGGGCTATAAACATACATATATAGCTATCGCAGCTTCTTGGCGACAAGTTTTTTGAAGATTTGACCGGCTCGAAACAAATTTTACTTTGTTTCACTAAACTTGACGTATTTTGCAGATGTTTTTTTGTCGTCATGTGCGCTCTTATTTGGTCAGTTTTACAGTTAATACTGCATTTGCAGTATTTGCAATAAGCCTTGTTAGTGTCTGAATTATGTCGGCTAATCCAATCTTTAAAATCGGGCTGCAGTAGCCAGCAATCCCGAAACTTTGCTTAGAAACTTTTTGGCATTTTAACTTTTTTGAAATTGCGTTGTTTTCCGCAACGAGATTGCAACTAACCTAAATAGAGTCGATATAAGTATGGCAGCCGCGAAAAGTTGCCACCTGTTTCATATTTTACAGATGATAATAAATTTAAATTGCAGCGCGAAATCAAATATTTTAGAAAAAAAAGTATTATTAAATTTAAAAAAATGGAAAGATTTCCGGATGAAAAATATAAAAAAAGGACCGATTTCAGGTATGCGGATGATTTTCAATTTTTTCCGGATGAAGCGTTAAAAACAGGACAGATCTGTCCGGAAAAAGGACAAATTGGTACCACTGTTTGGACGATGCGTGGGACCGCGAGAACGAAAGCGGGAAGAGGGCGAAGGCAGGCAGTCGTCTTCGGCAAGCGAGAGAACACGCACGTCGCATCTAACGCGGGACGCCACTTACATTTGTGCTATACATATGTATACAGTGATGGAAAAAATAATAGAAACGATGTTTCACTTTGGGTTTGAATACGTATTTTTAATAAGGAACGTGGTGATGAGTGGATATTTTTATTTTTTTTTTTATTTATATACATCTATCTTACATACTAAAAAAAAAAATGAATTTAACTTTATTCATTTAGCTAAAAAAATATATTTAAGTCAAATTTCATGTTTTTGACTTGGAAATAAAAATAGAAACGAAGTGACTTATCGTCATCCAAATTGACTAGCTTAGCAAAATTAACCATGAAATATTTTCAGGTTTAATATTTTGTTGCATTACCATGATTTTTCAAAAATTCCGACACACCTACGAGGCATAGACTCCACAGGATTGGAGCATATTGCCGGCTTAATGGAGTACCACGTCTCCTGGACTTTCTCCCACAAATGCTCCTTATTTTTTGGCCTAAAACCACTTAAACGTTTTTTAAGAATGCGCCTCAAATGCTCAATAGGGCTTAAGTCGGGTGACTAAGCTGACCAATCCATAACGCCGACTTTATTGTCCAGGATCCCCTTTTTAGCAAGCTACGATGTGTCTTTGGGATCGTTATCCTTAATAATATCCCACTTCAAAGGCATTTCATCTTCGGCATACGTTAA